ACGAAAAAAAAATTGTCTCAGATCGACCCGGAAAAAAATTTTTCTTGTAGAATGTGGCCTGTAGAATCCATAATTTGAAACAGTTCCAAGATTGGGCTACTAGTTCAAAAGTTACAATTTTCTCGTTCTTATTATTCCTTAAATGGCAGTTCAAAATGTACGTACTTGCAAGATCTGTAGAGCAATTGTAGCTTAAAGGCCCGGTTTTTGAATAGATAATTTAAATACAATAACTACTAGTGCGCCATCTCCTTGACAATCGATAATTCTATCAATTATAATTTTAGAAGTCTAGTTGAGATGTCGCCACGTACGCACCTTCGGTTCTTGTTAGCATCTTCTATGGGTACTTTTTTTCAGAGACTCAGAATCTGTTATCAGAACTTTCATAGTACGCTAGATGTAGAAGCTACAGGAGGCTACTTTCTTATTTCTTATGGGCGCCATATTGGATTTTTATAGAATGAGAGGACAAAAAAAGAAAAATAATAACGTGTCACACTCTATACATTACATTCAATTCTCAACAAAACATCCACGAGTAACTTTGTCCTCTATTTCATTCCGTAAAAATCCAATATGGCGTCCATAAGAAATAAGAAAGTAGTAGCCTCTAGCTCCAGATCTGGCGTGTTATGGTCATTCTGATAGCAGATTCTGAATCTCTGAAAAGCTTTGAAAAATGAAAACGAAATTTGATATTTTCAGTTTTTCGGCGATATAAAAAATTTTTGAAAAATTTCAAATGCTGTTTTTGTCACAAAAAAAGCAGTTAGGTGACTTTTCCTGCATTTAACCTAGACTGTATCTCTCACCGTTACACAGATCCCAATGGTGAGCTGATTACATTAAGAAATGACTCAAGCAAATCACACAAAAATCGTTTGCGGAGTAATTTAAATCAGAGAACACTAAAAAATGCTTGTTTCACCTCATGATTTTTTATGCAGTACTTCGTTATCACACTGTATATACATTTCCAAAGTTACAAATCTTTGATATTTTTACACTATACATAGGTAGTTGAAGTTAGAGTTGGTACTTCAAATTTCTCCCAAATAAAAAATAACTCAAAATATCTGCAGGGGGTTGCCACCCTACAGAAAGATCAATTGAAACTTATCTTTGTAATCATTGATTTTATTAAAAATTTTCGTATGAACAAGACCGTTCCGAGTAAACCGTTCGTTCCGGTCTTCCAAGTGACGATCATTACGAATTACTGTGTAATTTAATTCAGGGTGGACTTGTAAAGAGTACGGTATCATCATTATAATTAATAAAATTTGTAGTACAAAATAACACAGTTAGTTGTGAGCGACTACTGGGATAGGATCGTGTCATTGTTGAAGCAATTTTGCAAGAAATAACAATAAAAAATAAAAATAAAAATGTTTTTTTTGTTTTTATTTTTTATTTTTATTTTTGATTTTTTGTTTCTTGTCCTGACATGGTGCTATACCCGTGGTCGCTCGCAAATTACTCTGGTCGTGGAAGCCTCTCAATATCTCTTTTATTTGGTTAGATACGAAAAATTTGTCAAATATATCTTTATATGTGACATTCCGATCTATCCGATCGAACATTGAAACTTCCGGTATCGCTTTCGGCTTAACCGGAAATCGATTCAACTTTTGTTTTTCAAATGCAATGCCTGTATTATTTTAAGATATTTGAAAAGAACAGTCCATTTTCTGAACGGCAATATAAAGCATGTATATGGTTGATAGAAAAAAAATTAAAAAATTCGTTATTCAATATTTAGAAAATTTATGAAATCTAGCATGCGGCGCACTGTCATCTTCAGGACCGTGGACGTTCCATTATGCGGGGAGATTGTATTTGTGCTCTGTACTTGAAAAAAAAGTTGCGCCCGGAAGTTTAACTGTGCGATCGGATTTACGATCGATCCATATAAAAACATATTTGAAAATTTTTTCGACAAATAAAAGAGATACTGAGGTGAGAACGCACTGTATAGTCACTAGTCAGGTCATATGATACTTTCATCGCCGCAATGAATTACTGTTTTGTATTTTCAAGTTTAGAATTTCGAAATTTTTATGTAGACGTTCAATCTTAAAAAACGAAGTCACTTTAGAATCTACAGGGTGAGTTTTTTTAAGTGTTACAAGGCGATATCTCGAAACCGGTTTTGAATATTTTTATAAAATTTTGTTGATTTAATATGGATATGGAGGCACAAATTTTAGTTTTTCTTTTCTCCATTTTTATAGGTGGGGGTCACTTTGACATTTTCAATCAAATGATTCACTTCTGCTTTTAAAAATTCGAATCTACATAAAAACTACGTATGTGCTAATATATTTTGTTTAATTGCTTCCATGGTTACGGAGCTATGGTTATTTTAGATGTTAAAGATAAACAAAATTACAACTTAATTATAATTTTTATAACGTTTGTTATGCTAAAGAAGACGTTCCAAATGTCATCCTTGAACTTCCAAACACTTTCACATTCTACATCTAAATGAATTTCGTACCAGTACTATTTCAAGTGTCACTCATAAGCAGGCAGAACGTATTCGGCCTTTCATGTAATCTAAAGTTGTAGGTACGGTGATCATTATGTTATCCTTTATAAAGCCCCAGCCCCACAAAAAGAAATTCATGGGGATCAAATCCCGGGACCAACCCGCCCATTTAACCGAACCTGTTCTACCAATCCATGGGAACGCATTATAAAGTTGTTTGGAAGTTCAAGGAAGACTTTTGAATATCATCTTCAGCATAGTAAACGTTGAAAAATTAAGTTCTACGTTTTTTCCATTGTAACATCTAAAATAACCATAACTCCGTAACCATAGAAGCAATTAAACAAAAAAATATTAGCAAATGCTTATGTACAGATTCAAATTTAAATCACAAAGGTTTTATTTATTTTATTTAAAATGTGAAAGTCACCTCCTCCCCTAAAAATTGATGAAAGACAAAAGAAAAACATGTTAAAATATGCCCCCCCCCCACACCACCAAATTTTCGTAAAAATATTTAAAACCATTTCGGAAATATGCCCTTGCGATAATTTAAAAAATCCACCCTGTACAACAGAAAGTAGTTCCCTGTTGATGTGTGATAGATCTTTTTTCCATGGATTTTTAGACTATCTACTACAGAAAATTGCCTATTTTGTTGACGAAAAAAACGAAAGAAAACAGTATTACTTTTTTTAAATTTACACTTAAGGAGTCTCGGAAGTTTTCGCCAACTTGTATGGTCTTACTAGGGATTTTAAGTACAAATGTTCTACTAAAAATAATTCTCAATGAACATGTGTTTCAGTTATCTTATGGTCTCATTTAAAACACCAATTAAAAGAAAAATGATTTAGGGTAATTTTAATGAGAGGGACAATTTTGTTAAAAAAAAGTTTAGGTTGATATTGTACATGACAAATTACGCACAGTCGTGGCCATTTTTGTGACACTTGGTAAGTGCCGAGTTGCCGACAGAAGTGACTACTCCTTATTCTCAATCTGTCAATTTTGTAACGAATATGCTCGAGCGACATCGGGGCCCCATCAAGGCGCCCGCAAGTCGATAAAGAACGACGAAGTTGATAAAGAATGAAGACTGACTTCCTCCAAAACGGCCGGACGGATTTTGTTGAAAATTGTTTTATATGTTTCGGTGTGTTCTCGGATGGTTTTGAATCACAATTGGGCCCAATCGGATAATAGGATTTATTTAACTAATTTTTTCGTTGATGTCCAACTCTACTATTTCGTGCAGCCTTTTTTTAAACAGATAGGTCCCTTGCTAATTTGGTCATTAAAACGAAAGGGTTCTTAGAGACATGAGCGCAGTTTTATAAAAAATAATTTCTTTAGCGTCTCTAAAATCATGGATTAATTAGAGTAAGAGACTTTCTTGGGCTTTATTAAAAAAATTATAGGTACGTATCCGTTCTTATGTAGATTCGATTTAGAAAACGCTCTTTCGAGGCTCGTTAGGAATTTATAACCGGACGAACCACTTAGAGGCGGTGCCCCCTTCAGGTATGGGCCTCATATCTCTCATGGAGATATTTTGTTGAGAAATTAATGTAAAACAATCGATTTTAAAATGCACTCTCCATCTCATTCCGTAAAATGGGGTTCATGAGAATTAGAAAATAGTATCCTGTAACTTCTACATCTAGCATGTTTTGGAAATCCTGATCATAGATTCTTCTCCCAAGAAAATGCAACGATTATTTTCTCCATTACGAAGCATTATTATTTTACTACTTGTTGAAGAACTCCCGTAACAATGGAAGCGGTTTGATAAATGGCTCCATCTATTGATGCAATTTAACCACGGAATTTTTCCCATTCCTTCTTTTCCGTTAACCAATTCAGTAGGCACATTGGTCGAAAAATAATGGCGTGATAATTCCCTGAAGGTGGATTGAATTTTTAAATAAGAACCTGTCCTATCTTTGACGCTTCGTTTGTCTAGGCGCATTCGACATCTGACGGTTGAGCCGACGTATTTAATAATTGTTACAATCGTTATTCGTATTAATTGGTTTCTACACCCTCTCATTAACTTAGCAGTATTTTTATGTGGGATTTTAACACGGCAGTTGTATGTACTATTTTTAGAGGATTTTTTCCTTCCTGAACATTACCAGCCCAGCTCGAGGGTGTTAAAACTAGTAGGATGTTTATAATTGGGTGCAATACCTGTGTAGATCTTATCAGGGAGATAACGACAACTTGAAGCCATTGTATTAATTGCACCGACCATCTTGGGCAATTAGATAACCATCCGAACAAGTAGATTCACTCGAGAAAGCTCGGGGATACCTTCCGTTACTTCAGTGTGTCATAAGCGTATCGTTAAATACCTCTTAAAGGGATAAATTTGGCATTGTAATTGCTAACGTAACTTGCTCAGTAATTTGACCGAGTGTATACGTTTTCGATCTTGGACTTACTCACGGCCACCAGTAATATGCATTCGCCTTTCAGACAGTAATTATTCTTTTTGTTATAGGGTCGGACTCGCTACAGGAGAGCTCTCGGCTCGAGCTTTATTTCAAGGTAAGATTTTTACAAATATATGTTAACACTTATGCTTTCATTATCGAAGCAATGATTGATCGTATTTCATTTTGCTTTTGGGAAACTTTTGACTTTTGTTAATGATACAGTAAATTATTTATTAATCGATCATTTTCGATTGGGAATTTTACTTGAACATAAAATTTACCAAGAGTTTTGAAGCACGTAATTAATAATTATGAATATTTAGGGAATATTTTGTATTTGTGGGATATTTCGAATTGTTATTACTACTCTCGTATCTTCTCAATTTCAAACGGGGAGATATGCCCAGAACGAACTACCGCCGTGGATGATCTCAAGCTTTTATTTTATTTTCCAACCCTGAGCCAGTTGGCCGTTTGAGGTAATGCAGGGCCAACTCTGCCGACTTTTATAAAAAGTGCTCATAGAAGGTGCTAACGGGAACCATTTCCGACCGTTTAAGCTTATAGGGAAAATGAGAACGAAATTTGAGTGCTCATAGAAGGTGCTAACGGGAACCATTTCCGACCGTTTAAGCTTATAGGGAAAATGAGAACGAAATTTGAGATTTTCAGTTTTTCGTGCTATCTATGATTTTTCAAAAACTTCAAATGCGTTTTTTAGTCACAAAAACGGGCAACTTTGCCCTCATTTTTATTTAACCGTGCAGTAACAGTGTATGTATCTCCGTGCACCATTACGAAGATCCCAATGGCGAGGCACGAATTTGAACTAACCTGAACATATGTTAAACTAACACTCTCCGTGCTTTTGTTCTCTACACTTGGAACTTCTCAAAAAACGCGTATGAAAATTACATTTTGGTATATCTCTCTCTATCTACAGTGTGATTGATTTTGCGTGTCCAAGCGTATATTTCTTTTATTATGTAAAAAACAAATATACTCTTCAATTTCTGATAAAGCTACATATTCAAAAAGAATAAGTGATATAAAAACAAAAGAGCACTAGAAAACAAATTAATTTTTTTAAATAGAACGGTTACTTTTGTTTATAATATTCTTAAAGAGCTTGAAATTCTCTTTACAATGATTTCAAATATGTCATAATTAACTTAATGTGTTTAGAACCAATCGCAGTAGCTGTGGAAATTTAAACAAAAACATAAAATTCACAACAGGAAGCGAAGAAAACAAATGAAAAGCAGTTACAAAACCTAGTTTTATGACAGACATGACAAGTAACATACTCTCTTTTGTTTTTGTTTAAATTTCCACAGTTACTACGATTGGTTTTAAAAACATTACCGTAGCGTTAATTTCTAAGGTCATTATAGCCTATTTGGTATCATTGTAAAGAGAATTTCAAGCGCTTTACGAATATTGGAGTAAAAAGTAACCGTTCTATTTAAAAACAATAGTTTGTGTATACCATTTGTTAAATTTAAAGGCTAACAGTGGCTTTTGAATAGAACACACCCCGTTTGCAAACTGTCGATCTAGAAAGAAATTAAGAGATTTTAAAAATTACACACGGGGTATCATTTTTCACCCCCAATAGGCAACGATTAGGTAGGTACCTTGCCATAGCAACGGAGTCTGGATAAATAAGTGTGTACTGATTTTTATAACACATTCCTCTCCCTTTCGATTTTCGACTCTTTGTATGGAGAGCAAATTAGAATCAGATTTAAAACAAATAAATTATAACGTGAAATGCTCGTTTTCAAATCCATTAAGGCGTATATAACGGTTGAAAATGCAAGCGTGAATACGGTGTCGAGTAGAATTTGTAGCGACAGTCGATTATTTAATGTCAGTGTTGCTCTAAATGGCTCAACAATTGCAAGACTCACAAATCATTGTGGATGTCGGCAATAAACCGGGATCAGTGCATCGCGGCCCTGCTAAACCCACTTAATCGGTTGACATTTGACAAATACTGACAAGATGTATCCGCGTTGTTTGTTCATATTCACCATTCTGATACCTTTATAATTGCGCGATTTATTGGACCCGCCGCCGCAGCACTTACCTTTCTAAGTGTTTGACGATATCCTCGTAGGCGGCTCTGCAGTTTTCCCAGATGCCGGATCTGGAAAATAGGAAAAAATCGTGTTTACTACCTACATCGCTCACTTGCCCTAATAAACTGAAAGTTAGATGAGTAGCATAACGAAATTATAAACCCTTTCCGAAAAGGAATCAAGATTTTGGTAGCGTATCTCTCTAATCCCACTGTTTGAGGCATTAAATATTACACACACCTAAACTACTTTCAAGTTTCGCTGAAAATTTTAGTCGCGATCTTTGAACTCCGAAATCCCGGATTCGTGAGTTAAGACGTGAAAGGGTTATCGGATTAGACGCTCGAGACGCGGCGTTCAGCATCACTCCTACTGGACGCGCCCGAAGGGATTATAAGTGCTCGTCAAGTTGACGTCTGGAAGGAAAAAAAAAACGAGGCCGCGCCACCCCCAAAACCGACAAATTGCTCAACAACACATATTTCGAAACGAAGTTAATCCAAGTTACTTTACAAAGATTGCTCTTCAGTTGTTTACACGGTTGTTCAAGTCATCATTATCATTTCAACGCTCGCTCGTAATTAAAATGCAAATCCGGGCCGGTAGATGCGTGTACACGTCACGGAGAAGCGCCGTGATTAATTCTCCAGGTAAACCGTCTCGCTTTATTATTCGCTCTCTTCCTAACTCATTGATCGACATTTGTTTAAATTAAAATAGATTCATTTATCTATTGACCATTTATGTACCAGTGCTTGTTTTTCTTTTCTTTTTTTTTTCAAAAAGCGATCGCTCAACCGTTTAAGACCACCATGATAATGGACATTCCACGCTTATTTAGTAGGTACCTCTTCGAGGATATATTCCTTCAGTTTGACGACCATTAAAATTTTTCGAAATTGACCAGTGACCAGCTAGTGGCAAATATTGGATAGGAATTATGCACGTTTAACGAAATGATATGATGTGCCAGATTAAGAATTTATATACCTACACTATGTCCAAGATAATGATGGATGCTCATTTTTCCATTTTTCAGGGAATGTCCGATAGGTATTCTCGCACGGTTAGAACATTGTGCGCGGGTGCCCCATCCTGCTGATATCAACACTTTCCAACCTTTCATTTTTTTGAGTACCGTATATCGTTGTATTCGCAATGCCACTCAATACAGTATGGACTTTTTTACGGGTCATATAAAAAAATAATTTCTCCGAAACGAAACATTGTATTAAAAATCTCTAGTAGAACTCAAACAGTGTCAATGACAACATGTTGTTTAAATAACATCAGAAAAATATTTAAACCAAATCGGAAAATTACGGTTTCCGTGGCATATCTTCGGAAGTAATCGGAATTTTTTGGTTTTCTTTACAGCATGTGTTTCTCGATTTTTTTTAATTTTCAAAAGTAACTTTTTAAGAGTGGCTTCTTTTAGATGGAATGCACGGTATAAAGTCATTTTTTTTGCCCCTCCTCACCCCATTTTCACCATTGCAATTCCGTCCTGTTGGCTTTTTTTCTCTTCTTCTCCATTTTCACTATTCTCACTCTCCTCTCACTTCTGCGCCTTTTATCTATTTCGTTCAATCTCTTCGTAGTTATCGCTCTTATTCTTCCCACCTTACCTTACCCGTTTTTTCGCTTTTCCTCCTTTTTTCTCTATTTTCTTTTTTATTCCCGCTTTTGTTGCCGTTGCTCCTCTTTTCAATCTTTGTCACTTTTTTCTATTTCCGGATCTTCCATTTTTCACTGTTTCTACCTTCCCACTGTTCTCGTTTTGTTTCCTTTTTTTACACGTTCATCTCTTCCCCTACGCTCTTCTTGCTCTTTCCACTTTCTCACATAAGCATCTATTCCGCCACCAGTCACTTTTATCGTTCTTGCTACTGGCACAGACTACTGATATGGTTGTTTGGTCACTCTCGGCTTTTCCTTCCCGTTCTCCTTTTTTTCAACCTTTTCTCTATTTCCGTTCTGTTAGTCTTGCCTGCTCTCCTCTTCCTTGTCGCCATGCTCGCCTTTTCCGTTTTTCTCTTTGTTCACGCTCTTTTTGTTCATGTAGCTCTGCTCGCCTTGCTCACATTTATCGGTTTTCGTTCATCCGATTTTCCATTTTTCTCTTTCTTTTTGTTCTTCTATCGTTTCCAGCTTAACTCGTTTGTTTTTCGTTATTCCTGTTCTTTTCTCTTTTTCCAACCCTCTCTTATTCTCTCGCTTTTGTAGTTATTTCTCCTGCTTTTCCATTCTTCACTTTCTTTCCATGTTTCCCTGTTATTCCTTTCCCACCGCTGTCGATTTTTTTGTTTTCTTCACATTTTTCTTTTTCTCGTTTTATCTCTCTTGCTCCTAGCCCTTCTCTCTGGCGTCATGCTCTTACCGGTCGTGATTTTTTTTTCATTAACTTCTTTGCTCGATTTTTGCCCCTCCCCCCTCTTAACTCCTTTCCATTTCCTCAATTGCCTCTAATTCTACTGATCATTGCTGCACTTTTCGAAGTTTTTTTTTAACGATCAGGATCTGATCATGTTTCCAAAAACTATTATGAAACCCTTGAGGGCTAAACATTTTGTGGGGGACAGCGTAGCACCGGGGTGGGGGGGGGGATCTCTCGCCCAGTAAATTTTTTTATGAAAATATCAAAGCTTTCTTTGCTAGAAATTTCGTTTTTTTTAAACGCGAACTGCATACAATAACGTGAGAGAGCACTAACTTTATTTTATAGCATATCTTAAAATGACATTTTAATAGGTTTAAATGAGTAGGCTAAGCCGTTCTTTAACCGTAAGGGTAGATAAAGTGAAACAGATGAGTGTGCATTCTAATGACATCTGTCATACTTATTTCAAATGCACGATATAAAATGACGTCCAGAACATATGAAAATTCTGTTTCTATAGCAACGATCGCCTCGGCAGAACCTTAGCTTGCTATTTTTGACGTCTCTAAATTAAATTCTGAATTGCCAGAAGGTTTACAATGATTTATATACCTTCTGCTATCAAATAAAGTTTTATATTGCACACGACGATAAAAGGAAACTAACCATCTCCTGAAAGTTAATTCACTCAATGGTTAAAATATCCCTTTATCGTCTCGTATAATAAATAACTATTATTTTGCTACGGTATCTTCAAAAAATCAAAAGTTTGGGAATTTCAAACATGTACGCTCAGTTTCGATACTCATGTAGAAATGCACACAGCATTTTTTTTAGCGGAGCACAACGAAATTGCGGTAACGCTCACATGCTCAATTTACCGTCGTCTGTTTGTCTGTCTGTCGCTTCGAGAATATCGGCGCCTGGCCCACCTAGAGACTTCGTTTTCGCTAATTGATAGCTGTTATGGTCTATATTTGCCCGGCACTCATCATTTGCAGTGTATTATACAGTGTGATCATTTTGTCTGGAACACTGGATTTATCTTCAAAACAAAACTTGTTTCACGTTCCAAAAATTGCCTATTTCAAATTTGTGGTCAGTGACGTACTTCTGCTTGGTCAAGGGTGGCATATATTTTTTTAATGACAACTACTAGTTTTCATTACATATTATTAAAGAGTACTCTTTTTTGGATACAGCAGTCTAAAAAACTTATTATATTACATAATGAAATGAAAATTAAAATAGTTGTTAATAATTGTACTAGTTAAATCATTTTTGTCATTGTTGTCAAGGCTTATTCTTTGATAGTACCTCACGAAAAACAGTGCTCTCAATTAAAAGGGTTTTGTAGACGCACGCCACTGTAATAATTTTTAAGCGTGTAGATTTTTACTTATAAATTTTTAATGATTTTTTTATACAATAAATTGCTTTGATATAACTAACAAAAGAATAACGTTTTTTTTCAAAGCAAACTAAATGAAATTATAAACTTAATGAACGCAACTACTTTTCTTAATTTAAGTTTTCTCTTAAATTTGATTGCATAATTTGTTTTTTATGTTGCTATATCCTGAAAAGTGTACTCTTTAAGAATATGTAACGAAAACTATTAGCCATAAAAAAATATGCCCCCCCCCCCCTACACCATGCAGAAGTACGCCACTGGCCACAAATTTAAAGTACGTAGATTGGTAGCAAACTTTTTTATAATGTTGGATACCACAAAAGTTTCTTTAAAATAATCTTGTTTGGAAGATGCTCCAGACAAAATGTCTACCCTGTATATTGATAAATCGTACACATGGATTGATAGTAGGTATTGGATCTTGTCGCCGTCGCCATCTTCCTGAACGAATCCACGATTCCATTGGTTCAAATGCCATTGAAATTCCTTTCATGAATCTTGAAGATTACCTCAGGGGCGCTATCCAACTATTTGGGTATTCAATCCTTTTCCAACTCCATATTCGGCGCTCCTCATTAGGTTCCTACCCTAACCACAGCTGTATTTGGTGGTACGTGGTACCCACTTTAAAAATCGGTTTTTCGGCAGAACTAAGCGGGACAAATTCTAATCTTATGGGTACAAATTAGTCTTTAATTAGTCCTAAATTATAGGCATTACTTCATTTAGGCCACTAACCATCGGGCGAGGAGTGGCGAGAACAACTAAATTAAAAAAGCGAGACGTAACTAATGCGTTGTTTTGATTTGTGAAAAGGATATCGAAATATACACTTGACACTTACCGTGCAATGGCTTCCATAGACGGCATTTGATTTTTAATAACCGAACCATCCGGTCTCCCCAAATTGTGTGGCATTCCAGGTGACAGTAGAGCGGAATGAGCGGCGGCAGGATGTGGTAATTGCATAAAGGGTAAATGACTCATATGCGGTGGTTGATTATATCCATTGGCTAACAGCGGCGATTTTTCGAGTCGCGACATATCTGTAACAGAAGAAAAGATTCATTAATTTAAAAAGGAATCAAACGAAACCCGCGCGCTCTCTTGTATCAATACCCGTTCTGGACACGGTCAATATTTATGTATATCTTCCAAGAGGCGATTTAGGGCACAGCAGGGTCTCGCGTCTTGGCAGGGGGTCGACCCGCGACCTCTGTTCCCACACCACCCTCATTATCAGAAATAATTACCGCGCGCCTTCATTATTGTGAAATTATCGTTCTCGTCCGGCGAGAGACGTACCTACAGATGTATAAAATTCCGCCATGGCCCACTAAGCAATTAAACTAATTAGGAATACAGATCGAATAAGGCCGGCCACACAGAGACAACGGGTGATTAGCGTTCCGAGATCATCATTAATCATCTTGTATGTCACTGAAAAGAAGCTTAAAAGATATTTATATGAAAATTCGTTATACCTGCAAGAGGCATGTTTTTATTATGAGTTATTAGATCGAAGTGCGCGTCGAAGAAGAAGAAGACCAAGAGGGAAAAAAAAGGCAAAACGTGGCGCGTTAAACGATAAATTTATAAAACATTTGACCGATTCGAAATAATAATAGCGTAACAACCCGAATTATTTGAAATTGCTATAATCAAACGTTTAAACCCATCGAGATAACTACGCTTAAACGCAAAACAAATTGTAAATGGGATTGGAACGAAATTATACGCCAGAAGGCGAAACCCAAGAGGAAAAAAAGCGAAGAGGAAAAAAAAGGTGCATGTCATTCCGAAACGATTTGTGACTATTCATTAGAAATTAGCTGAATAACTATGATTGCCTCGAGTGGGTATCAAATGGGTGTACGCGATGCCTAAATGCAGGGTTTCGAACCGATTGCGGTTTTGTCAGATGGTCTCATCTTCCGTCGCGCTCGCGTTGCCTACCTATTTCAATTGCGAATTTATCTACTATAAACCTATTCGTGTAGGTAACTTAATCGCATTCTTAACATCTTTAATTGTCCATAACCTGAATGCGGTCGAGATTTTGTATACGGCAAGTAATTGCTCATCCTTCCGTGCCCGATGCGTTGTCGGCATTTACATACGAGAGAATTTCATTATTAAATTGACAAAATTCGAGGAAGCGTTCGCCTATTGTTGCTGTTTAATTAATAACTAACCTACTCGAACCGTGTGTCAGCAGTGATATCGAAATTATAGTCACGGTCGACTTTTAGCTGGAAACCATCAGAGTCTCCGCATGAAACGGAGATTATGTAAAACGGAGCGAAGAATGGCTGAGCGATCAGGTTATTGTGAGGAAGAACAGTTTCCATATTTCGGCTAAGGGTTCAACCCTTGATATTCCACAGTCGGGACATTTATCACAAAATTGAGCTGTGGATGACCTTGATTTTTAAGGGAATTTCTTTGATTATGGTTCACAAGGGCATTCCATTGATATTTTTACTCGGCTACCCTTGATCAAAATACTTTCAGTATTTCAGTTGCAGATCGTCTAACGATGAGAAGAATCGATTATTGTATGATAACATTGCAAAAATGTTGTGAATATTTAAGAAAATTACAAACTATGCTTAGTTGCCATGTACAACATACCAGAGAAGGGAGGAATTGCCATTAAAAAATTGCTTTTTTGTATTTTCCAGAAGTTTGAAGTCAAATTTTTTTGAACAGTTGTTGTTTCTGTTGTGTTTGGAAGGATAATGCTGATATTGAGGTATAGCGAAATCAATTCAGTAAAGTAACTTACTGGGTACAGGGTGGTCCATTTATCTAGAGACAATCAAATATTACGGAAACTAGCGCGACTATTAGAAAATGATTAATCTGATGGGGCGCATTTATTGATGCTTTGCACAGTTTCGCTTATGGAACAGGTGTATCGGAAAATAATAAAATTTCGTGGGAAACGTTTTTTCTCTGCATGTTCGAGTCGAGTCTAAAAATGGTACCTACCATAGCCTGTTTTATATTATAATTTGTCCAAGTATCCTAATCTCGAAATTTTACAAAGTGGAAATTGAATATTCGGTTTTTGCTGCCACGCATAAATTTTTCGGAGTCTAGTATTCAAGAGATGCATGGTTACCTTGCTCCAGGAGCCGGTGTATGTGGTGAAAGTTTAAATGGGTGAATTAACGAAATTCGATGAGTTGAATTAATTTATTTTCAATTTTTCATTTACCTGTATATTGAACTAAATCAGAAAAGGCGAACATCAAGCAACTTTAGATGAATGAAGTTTAACCCTATTTTACTAAACATATCCTATACTAAGGAAAACCTACTGTACAGGGTGTAACACTTAAGATCCCTCGGATCATAACTCCTTTACCATAAAAGATACCGAAAAAAGTCTTAATGCAAAATTGTACACAATTACCCTCGGCATGTTTCTAAAATATTTTTGATCACCAGAGGCGTGCTGTATTCCAGTGTCGTATCAAACTTGCATTTTTTTTAATGGAACACCCCTCATTTTATTACTGATTTGGAGAGCACTTGAAAAGTACTTATTTTTTTATGTAACATGTTATACCCATAACTTTAACGGTTTCACTGTTATACCCTTTTTTCTTCAAAATTTGACAGTTTTCCGGAATTTTTTTTTAGATATACTAAATCGCGCAGGTGGCTAATTTTTTAACTGAGGCGCAGGTTAAGACCTCTTCCACAAATAAAATTTTTGATTGACCTTCGCTAAATGTCATATTTTTTAAAAATTTCAAATGACACCTCCCTAAACAAATTATACCTCTGGGTAGCCAAAACTACAAATTTTATTTATTTTTATTAGTGTGCGTGAAATTATTACTCCCAGTAGTTGTAAATTTATCCAACACATTTATCAACCAGTTCTGCTTTTGTTTGGAACATTTTCGCAACGTTGATTAAAAAACAATCATACACTGCCGACACTTTACTGTTAATTGTGATGGACATCTTTTGTTTTATCATGGCACACTTGAGTTCGGAAAAAACCTTTTTTTACAAATTGGCGTTTCAACTTGGTTTTCTTTAAAATGTTCTTATGGAATGTGTGGTGCCATTTGAAATTTTTAAAAAATATGACATTTAGCGAAGGTCAATCGAAAATTTTATTTTTTCGATAAAGTACCTAAACAAAATATGTGATTGTGGAAGAGGTCTTAACCTGTGCCTCAGTTAAAAAATTAGCCACCTGCGCGATTTAGTATATCTAAAAAAAATTCCGGAAAACTGTCAAATTTTGAAGAAAAAAGGGTATAACAGCGAAACCATTACAGTTAGGGGTATAACATGTTACATAAAAAAATAAGTACTTTAGATGCTTATAAAATTAGGAAAACTTGCTTAGAGCATATTATACAGGGTGTTAATTAAGTGCTTGTAGAAACTGTAAAGGGTAAATCTTTGACAAATTTTAAGATAAAAAGTTTATATGAACATGAATTCGCAACGGCCTGGTTTCTGAGATACAGGGCGCCAAAGAAAACTACTTTATACGGTTTTTTGCATATATTGTTGTTAACTAACATGGCAATTGGACGAAATTCGGAAAAATAACATTTTCTCGGCTTATTTCAATTTTAATACGGGCGAGAAAATACGAATGCGATACCTACACGGATTTGAAATCACCGAAACCGTTCCGTGTAATTAAGTAATTTCTACGACGGAATTTCCCCAACAAAGCCGATTTCTACATCGGGGAAATTTTTACGGCGCAATTAATAATTGTATATCCCCGGTATTCTTCATATGCCCGCGCGCGGCTTGAACAATTGAGCCTGTTGCATACAGCGGATCTGATCGTATGTATTCGTGCGTATTTGAATAATTTAAATTCATAACGAATCTCTGCAACTGTTTGATGAATTTATACTCATAAACTCTTCGCTACATTGAAAACTTTTCTGTAGCACTGAAACTCAGGAATGAATTTCAGAAGAATAGCAGTAGCATGGGCGATTTGAACTACGAAGTAAAATGATGTACCACACCTTTTGGTTTTCTATTTCGATTTGATTATACAGTGATATTTATTAAGAAGTAAACTAGGGATTTATGTATGTTCCCTATGTCTACTTTTAAAAGACAAAATCTCCTCTGAAGGGTTCCTAATTTTATGCATCTAAAATAACTTTTTAAAACAAATAAACATCTGGCTGTCATATTAATTATTTTGAATATTGTTGCTCGGGCTTAATAGAAAAAAAATCTTTTACGCTTCTTAATCTGTGTCCGGCATATACCAATTGACAATTACCAATTTTTTCTTCAGTTGAATACATCGTACACGAACCAAAATAAAAATACGGAACCCAAAACGACAATATTCAAATTAATTAATGTGACAGCCAGATCTTCATTTGTTTTGGTTGCATAAAATTAGACGCCCTTCGGCAAAGGTTTTGTCATTTAAAAGTAGACAGTGAAAAACAATACATGCAAATCCCTATGTCTGCTTCTTAATAAATACCACTGTATATGCAAAGATATTACGTTTCGAAAATTAGTCCTTTCAATTACTTATAACTTATGAAGCGTTACATAAGCAACCAAATGTGGAAAACTGGCATTCAATTATCATTGTTATTAATTAAAGGACAATAAAATAAGGAAAATGGTGAGTTCTAATAACAATTACTTAAATTTTAAGCGTATCACGCTTTAGTGCATTTGAATAAGGCTTTTTGAGAATTAATTTAAATATTAAATAAAACGATCGTAAACTAGTAAAAACAAGTGACGTTTAACAGCAATTACCGTATCTTTTGTTTTAAAGGCATTCGCTTAAAAATTAAATGATTCAGTACTTTAGCTACAGTAAGGTAAAAACCCGCTGTGGTTTTTTAAATGTGTGACCCATTTATTTGTGTGTGATTAAAAGAATTTTTTATACTCTTTTTAACTATGTAAGATATCATATCATTTAACAAAGAATAACTTTTTTTATCAATTTCATTTAGTCCATAATAGTCTATTGTCGTTAATTAAAGAATATAAAACACTTTTTAACCATTCA